ACTGGGCTGCCGTACTCCAAAACAGATAGTCTTCACGTTAACTGTTTGCCCGATAACAACAAAGGTGGATTTTGGTCCACGCGCGTGGAAACATAGTGTTTTTGGCGCTAAAATGGTAGAAACCTTTTTCAACCACAAATTTTAGCCCCTAATGGGATTCAATTCTTTCGAGCCTTTCTGTGCTTCCTTTTTCACGTTCAATCGTCTGTGAAGAAACAGCTGGGCTGAGTGCCAAAGTGTGTAAAAAATCCGTGTTCTATAGGCAAATTTCGAGGTCATAATAACCACGAAACTATCTTTTGCAATATTTTTCACTTATGGACACATCTGAAATGTACCCCACTTTCTCTTTTTGAATATAATGACTTGACGCATTCTCATGATGACTGGTATTGTCCTAGTTGCCTCTCTGACACGTTTCCTTTTAATCATTTTGATAGTGATACCGATTTCTATTTTGCCTTGTTAGATCTTCAACCTTCTGCCAATTTTGACGGCTCTCCTTTGGGAACTAAATATTTTAATCCGTTCTTGGAAGACCCTGATACTTGTCAACTTCTTCACAACCCTGACCTTGATCCAGACATCAATATGCTCTCATCAACTTCTAACTTACTATCTAGATGTACTTATATGAACAGTAAACAGTTCAATAATCTGTTCTCTGACTCCTCTAACTCCAACTGCTTCTCATTATTTCACTTGAATATGCGCACCCTTAAAAAACACTCTGTTGACCTAGAGGAATACCTCTCCACCCTAAATACATCTTTCTCAGCCATTGGCCTCTCTGAACCCTGGCTAGACACCACTTCTAATGATTTGTATAGAATCCCTGGTTACCATTTTACTTCTAAACCCAGACCTGTTGGATCAGGAGGTGGTGTTGGCATATTTCTTTGTGATACTTATGAATACAAGAAAAGGTGTGACCTTGAATCTATGAATTGTGTCCTTAAATCTCTTTTTGTTGAAATTGTCCTACCAAATAATGAGAAAAATGTCATCTTGGGCTGTTTATACAAACTCCCTAACGTTCAGACTGAAATCTTTGATGATGAAATTAAACAAGTCCTTGCTAAAATTGGCTTTGAGAATAAATTATGTTTTCTTTTTGGTGACTTTAACATCAATATTCTTAATGCTGACTCACATGTCCCTACTAATGGTTTCATTGATCTCATGTATTCTGATGTATTCCAATGGTTTCTATCCTCTTATCTCTAAACAACAAGAATCACGTCTCATTCAGCTACTTTGATCGATAACATCTTCTCCAATGACCTTGACAATCACAAATTTAGTGGTATCCTTTGGTCTGACATTTCTGATCACTTACCTATATTTCAGATCACTAATTATTCCCTTAAACCTAAAACTAAATCTTCAGTTTACCATAAACTCCTTGTAACTACTCATAACATTGAAAATTCTCGTTCCCATCTTTCATCTATTAATTGGGATTTCTCACAATCTTCCTCTTCAAATGCATTGTACAATTCTTTTATGGACTGTCTTTATCCAATCTGTGAAACATGCTTTCCTGTTAACATTATCACTGTCAAAGAAAATTCAAAAGCCAAACCTTGGTTTACCTCAGGGCTCCAAAACTCCTGTCGTAGGAAGTACGCTCTCTATAAACAATATTGTAATAATCCTACACCAGCTAATTAGCTATATATACCAAATTCCGTAACAAATACAACTATCTAATCAAACTATGTAGGAAAAAGTACTACCATGATAAATTGTCTTCTATATGTTCATCACTAAAAAAACCTGGTCCTTAATTAAATCCGTTATCTCTTCTAAACATTCCAGTTATGGACCTAGTGCCATGAAGGACAACAGATGTAACACTATTAACAACCCTCAATTAATTGCTAATAAGTTTAATGAATTCTTTACTAATATTGGTCCTTCTCTTGCCACTAAAATTCCCCACTCCACTGTTGACCACAAATCATATTTGCGTGGTTCTTTTAGTGATAGTTTCTTTGCTTCACCTACTACCCCTGATGAAATTATCAATATTTTGTCCTCAGTGAAGAGTAGTAACAGTGAGGGAGTGGACGGCATTAATGTTAACGTGATTAAAGCATCTATTGATCTCTTGGCATCTCCCCTCTCTCAAATGTGCAATACCTCCTTTTCGACTGGCATTGTGCCCGATAAGCTTAAAATCATCAAAGTACTTTCCATATTCAAAAGTGAAGATAGCACTAACTTCACTAATTATAGGCCTATCTCAATCTTACCTTGCTTCTCTAAAATCCTTGAGAGTGCCTTGTACCGTCGTCTAATGGACTATCTCACTAAACATAGCATACTCAATAATCATCAGTATGGGTTTAGAAAGAAACATTCCACTTTTATAGCAATACTGAAACTTACTAATAAAATATTTGATTCATTTGAGAAGAACGAATTCACAATTGGCATATTCATTCATCTAAAGAAGGCCTTTGATACCGTTAATCACTCCATCCTCTTAGATAAATTAAACTTCTATGGTATTCGAGGCACACCTTTTAACTGGACGTATAGCTGTCTCCTCTCTCGCTCTCAATATGTTCAAATTGATTCCTGGAAATCTCCACTGCTTCCACTTAAATGTGGTGTTCCTCAGAGTTCTGTGTTAGGGCCACTTTTATTTCTTATATACATTAATGACATTTTTTTATGCTCTAATTATCTCTCATTCATCCTTTTTGCAGACGACACTAATATTTTCTTTCAACACAAAAATATCTCTGAACTAACTAAAATTGTGAACCATGAACTTTCTTTTGTGGCTACCTGGTTCAAAGCTTACAAGCTAACTTTGCATCCCGACAAGACAAAATCTATTTTGTTTCACCCTGCAAGAAAGAAAATAAATCTTGACGATCTTTCTATTAACATTAAGAAGAATAGTATTAATAGAGTAGAACACAAAAAATTCTTAGGTGTTATCATCCATCAAAACCTCTCATGGCAGGCTCATATAAAAGCCATTTCTTCCAAAATTGCCAAATCAACTAGGATTATTATCAAATCACGACAGTTTTTCCTTTCTAATACTCTTTACACATTATACAACTGTTTAATACTCCCATATCTTCAATACTCATCTTATTATTTGAACATCCACATACTCTAGAATCATCATTACTCATTCTCCACCAGGTGTACATACTTACTCGCTCTTTAAGAAATTCAAAATACTCAACATATTTAATGTTTATAAGTACCATGTTTCTTGCTTTGTTTTCCTTCACATGCAGAAGCTCTTGCCCTCTCCTCTTTCATCTATTTTCGTTTTTAACTCTGATTGTCATCTATATCTCACCAGGCAAAAAGACAACTTACATCTTCATGCTCACAAATATTCTTTTGCTCTCGGGTACAGGGTCCTCAAATTTGGAATGACATTCCTCTCTCACTTCGTAATTCACTTACTCTTTCTAGTTAAAAACATAAACTGAGAGATTATTTTCAATCATTATAAGTTTAAACTAAGTTGATTCCTGAACAAACAACAAGTCACATTACTAGTGTTCCTAGATCTAAGCGCTGCCTTTGATACAGTAGATCATGATATATTACTGCGGCGCCTGGAATACAAATTTGGAATTAAAGATCAAGCAGTAACGTGGTTTAAATCCTATCTGTCGAATAGATCCCAGCGTATTGTAATCGGCAGTGCAAAGTCAGACAGTTTTGATCTAAAGTTTGGCGTGCCACAGGGCTCTTGTCTCGGCCCAATGTTGTTCTCCCTTTACACTAGTGAGCTTTTTGATGTCATTAGCCAGCACTTGCCAACGGCGCACAGTTATGCCGATGATACCGGTATCTATTTGGCATTCAATCCAAACGATGATTCCGATCAAGACGCCGCCATTGCAGCAATGGAAGCGTGCCTCTGTGACATCCGTAGCTGGATGATCAATGACAAACTCATGATCAATGATTCCAAGACTGAGTTTATGCTCATTGGGACGAAGGCACAGCTACAGAAAAATAAAAGCGCCACTCTAACTTTTGGCGAATCCATCAACTCTCCTAGCACGGAACCCCTTAGAAACTTAGGGGCCTGGTTTGACTGCCATTTCAACCTGAATTTTAACATAACCAAAACTTGTAGGAGTGCTTTTTTCATCTACACAATATTAGACACGTCAGAAAATATCTAAGCGTAGAATCTGCCGAGAAATTAGTGCACGCTTTCATCACAAGCAGATTGGACTATTGTAACTCACTCTTATACGGACTACCCCACTGCGCCCTCACTAAACTGCAGCGTGTTCAAAACGCAGCTGCAAGAGTTCTATATCTAGCACCACGGTTTTGCCATATCACACCAATATTATACGAATTACACTGGCTGCCTGTGACGTTTAGAATAGAATTTAAGGTTATTATAATCACTCACAAAGCAATCTATGGAACAGCTCCTAATTATTTATATCATCTCTCGTTAACTTTAAACCTAATTCTTCCTACAGCCTCAGATCAAATAACAAATATCTGCTTTCAAATCCTAACTTTAGGACTCTCCCTACTCTTAGTGACCAAGCCTTTGTAGCCGCCGCACCAAAACTATGGAATAATCTTCCATTAGATCTTAGATGCACCTCCGATTTTCAAGTTTTTAAACGTAATTTGAAGACTCACCTTTTTAAAAAAGCCTTTTCTGATATAATGTTGTAATGTTTGTAATTTTTTTTTTTTTTTTTACGGTAAATTTTTAGATCTTTAATTGTAAGGTATATTTTTAGACCTTTAATTGTAAGGCGCATTTGAAAATTGTATAGTTGAATTTGCGCGGTATAAATAAATGTTATTATTATTATTATTATTGAACTCAAATTTCTCTACCTTCAAACTCTTGTCTTTATTACTTTTTGCACACTATCATTAATTGTTATGTTCATTTTGCTTTATATGCAGTAATAATTCTTTATATGTTGTAATAGTTTGCCTTCTCTCTGCTAATCTTGTAATTATTAATTTTTATTCTCATTGCAACTTAGCAGCACATTGTAACTCTCTGACCTACGCCATGTAAGCCTCTGGCTTTGGCATCTCATTATCGTTAACTTGTGCTTTGTGTACTTATTTATCAATAAAGATGATATTATTATATTAGATTGTAGCTGCTGTTTAGTAGGAAATCCTTCGTCTTATCTTTGGAAAGTTCCAATTGAATTTAAATCCCGCCCATGCAAGCTTTACTTTAAGATTAGAATGTACAGAATGGTGATGCGCGATTGTAAACGTGCCCGAAAAAAAAAATCGCGGCTTGTTCAGCAATATTCTATATTCATATGAATATCTTATCTTCTCAAGCTAGGTTAAATCCAACTATTTGTGATTAAAATCAAAGAATATTAATCTAGCAGATATTCTGCGGCGTGAGTTTATTTATCCCCTTCACTTAGGCAACAAAGCTGCCCTTTGTTCATTAGGAAGGTAAGCACTTTTTTCCATTAGGATCAATCAAAGACTCACTAAAGAGCTTGAAGAGGTGTTAATCAATACGGATACAGCCTGGTCTCACCGGCATAGTAACGATCACTTTATGATACTGAGTTTGAAAGGATTTTCTACCGCAGTCGAATTTCCTACACTTTGTTTCCGGCTGCTCTCTCTGGCAGGACGCGCCTGTAACTCAGTACAGGTGGTCTTAGTTGTCGCGTGACTTCGAAGTGACAGCTGTCGTGGCATCAGTTTGAGGCTTGAAGAGGATTGATTGGAGGAACGACAACAGCAGAACATGGAGGATAACAATTCGATGTAGGTACGACGATATTGTTTGTTCATAACACCGTACACAACCGGATTTAAGCAGCTATGTAACCTTGTCAGGATTTCTGATGCAGACCACAGCTCATCGTACGAAACATGTCTGAAATCCTGCAACATCCAGGCAATTTGAGTTGGCAGTAAACAAGTTAAAAACAACAAAACGATCACTGCAACACTCCTGACTATCACTGCACCCTCTTTATGGCTTTCTTCTTCAGTCGCGAGGCTTTTTCCTGTTTTATTATTTCGTGGCATAACAGGTCTCCTGCGTAAGAACAGCCATATTCGTATGTAACAGGTCGCTGTTATAAGTAGCGGCGGTATGTATTGTACAGTCGTTAGTAATACAGTGTATGCTTGGCGATAGCCAATTGAAGGCCAGTCTTCTTCACATCTATTTTCCACAGGTTTATTCACCACAATAAGTGGAATGACGAAAATAAAAGCAGTCAACCATATAAGAGACACCCAAATTACACCTCTTTTATGTCCTAGCTTTTTCTTCCATGGCTGGGTAACAACGTGACACCGATGAATCGCCATGGATGTGATTGTCAAAAGTCCTGCATTGTAGGCTGTTGTAACAGAACTCAGACTTAAGTTGCAGTTGAACGTGCTTGAGGTTACGTCAAACTTACCTAAAATGGATTTAGGCGAGTCTAAACACAGCAACAACAAGTCCGCAATGGCCAGACTGGCTACAAACGTTCCATGAACTGTTTTTCTGCTTTGTTTCTTATGGACTATAATGAGGACAAATACGTTTCCAAGAAGTCCTATGATTAAAATCGTGATTTCTACCACAAGTTCTATCCACTTGCTCTTCATTTTATGCCAGTTTTTTGCTGATGCTGTAGAAGAGCTTGATTAGGACTTGATAACGACAGGTGCAGTTTCCTTCTCGATCGGCGCTGTTACACTGAATTTTAGGCTCAAATCGTTACCTCTAACCACCATCATTCGATTAAGGTACCTGAGCTTATGTCATTATGTGTTATATAGAATCGAATAAACAATCTTGAGTTTTGAATTTTTTGGTGTGCGAAGTCGATAGCCTATTGAGAGATATCTGAAACAACCTTAATGTGATCCGACTTACCAAATGCAAATCGATCGACTAATTTTTTATTGTCTGGACCTCTTAAACTAATTTATCAGGTAGCTGTGTCGTATTTATTGCCTGGTGCTCTTCCGGATACTCTGATCAAAGTGTTCGGCTTTGAACATTTTTTGTTACCTCTGTAGAAACCATTTTTTGTGGTTCCCTTATTTCTGGTGGTTGTCCTCCTCAGCTATATCAACATTGTCTGTTGCTTTTGCTCTGTTTTTGAATGGTTCAAATCAATATCAGGAACAGAAAGTATTCTTTAGCGGGAGGTATTGCAAGATAAACTGCGCGTGATCCAAATTTTAAACAAGGGTTTGTTTTCTTCTTTTAAATAGAACGATTTTCGTGAAGAAATCCTGACTCTTTTGATGCAGCAGAAATTAATGCAGCTGCTAAAACAGATGGCTCTTAAATACAGACGAACTAAACGACGCTTTGACGCAGATAAGGCGCCATTTACTTTCACTTAAAACCTTTTTTGACACCAAGTGGCCGTAACATCATGAAAAGAAATTTGTTAGCGGTGACATTTCTGGAATTAGTGATTGAAGTTTACAGTGACAATCAGTAAGGCAGTTTCTTAGTACACGTCCAGTGATCGATGAAGGCCTGCCCCGCAAAGTAAATTTTACTGTTTCTTGGCTTATCTGCCGGAACTCATTGGGAAAGCTAAATCGCTTTTAATTAAACTCCAAAAATGCAATTGATAAAGATCATGTTAGTTCTCTTAGCAACGAAAACTTTCTCTGAAAATTTAGCTTGAAATTCGGAAGGTTTAAATGAGACGCATAATTAGTTCTTTTTGCGAGTGACTTAACTCCACCATTTTAATGATGAACAATACTTTTAAGATTCTTTGGAGCCTAAGAATTTAAACCCTCAAAGTGCTCGTCTACTAGCTTTTGAAAATTGTAAGACCAGTTCAAGGATGTAAAATAGTTAATGTTAATGCAGAATTGAAATGCAGGCCCATTATATCGACCAAATTAATCACTTTGCAGCCTCCATTATCTCATCAGGCTCAGACAGTGAGTATTTTATTGCTTACGGTTTCACAGTTAACCTATGTTAATCGGCTTGGTTATTTAATAAAATGCTAGCGGAAGGAATCAATTGTATACCGTCTTTTTTCTTTAAAAGTACCACTTGCTTTTTACACTGAGGTTTGGTACTAATTCAATGAAAACGTGTCGTTCCGTTTCGTAGTACCCATAAGGAATGATTAATTATTTTAGTTGAGAATAATAAACTCTGCCTATTGAACAATTTTTTATCTCTCACTTCGCTTTTAAGCAACGAGAATAAGCACCCCATTTTGTCTTTCATTCACTTTGATCAAATAACCTTGGTTAGAAAAACGTATTTATTTTTTAACCTGGAAAATGTCTAAAAATTTAGCAAGTGATAGAAAAAAAAAAACAAGTGCAGTAAGTTTAATTATGTCGTCTTTTTATTCTGATAGAAATCTTCTTTTTATACATGTTTTCACAGCTATTCTCTAAAACTTAACAACCATGTCAATCTCATCTGAATCTACTACATACCCCATTTTAACATTATTCATTGCCAGTATTTGAAAACTAAGGAAGTACATCTTTCATGATGACGAGGATACAGCCGAGTCTGAGAACGTGGGAGGTTACTTAACACTCGTTTAGCTTCGTTTCGTAAGTGATCGTTTAAGTTTTTCATGATAGTTGTTACGACTGACTTAAGTAAAGAAGGATTTAGATCGGGTTTAACAATGTAGTGGTTGATAAAAATTTCAGTCTTGGTGTGTCTGTTTTCAGTATGATTATAATTCGTCACCACTCTATAATTAGCTTGGAAAAACTTTTAGTAAGATCTAGTAAAATAGTTATTCAGTTGCAAGCTGTGTTTTCTTAGTTTTTAACATTTCACGTGTTTTTAAAACCACTTAGCCGATTTTATGTTCAAACTTTAATTTCGGATTCGTGACGAACTTTCTTTCTTTCTGGTTTTTTCTACTAACAGTTGTTTTGAAATTGAAAAGTTACCATTTCAACAAAAGGTTGTATATACGGATAATTGTATCCTTGGCCATTTTGGGATTCTTTTCTGCCTGTTTAGGAAGAAGACATATTCTTGTTCAGTTGGTTAACGTTGTTTTTGGAATATTAACGTTTTCGTTTTTTTTTCCTTATTTTTTTGTTAGTAGTAATTTCGCACGGTAATTGTAAGGAAGAGTGCTCAATAGAAGGACTAGAGCGTAGTATAATCTAGTTTGTTTCGTGTCATCGTGAGATCCGACTTGGCATTTTTATTACTTGACTTAGTTTCGTACCGCACGGCATGTACGGCACTCTTCAGATAAAGTTGCCAACAAAAAGTTCGTCACAACATATACGCTAAGACCACAGGTGACCCAAGCGTAATATGAGAGTTTGTATGGGAAAACTAGAGTTTGAAACTTAGATGAAATAAATGAAGTAAAAGCGATAAAAGTTATTAATAAAGTGTAAATATTGTTACCTGGAGTCGTTGTCTTTGTTTTTACGAAGTTTCAACGCGATTTGAGTACTTCTACATCATCTGACATGACAGTGTAATAATAAGAGACAAGGTAGGACAGAATCGCTCGATCGATCTTCAAAGCTGCTCAGAATCGGCTCCAAATTTTACGCGAAAACACAAACACACTTACATTTTACGCCGCCGAATCCACAAAGTGGTACCTTAAGATCACCTTTCTGCAATCCGTTCCGGTAAACCTTGCGTTTGGATCGCATAACTCGATCGAAAAGATCAACTACAGTTCAAAAATCGGCGCCATTTATCCGTGACTAGTAAAAGTGTAACATTTCAACCGTTTTGTCGCCCGGCGGTGACTGGGCGCTAGCGTCAACTAATAACTCACCGGGAGAGGGTGACATTACTTCGTTAAGACAAATTTCTGCGCACCCACCTCCGAGCAAGGTGGGCTTCTTTGTTTTCACTCGGCCAATGAACGAAGAAACAAAACAAAACAAAGAAGAGCCGCCCTTGCTGGAAGGTGGGTGCGTAGAGATTTGTCTTAACGAAGTAATGTCACCCTCTCCCGGTGAGTTATTGATTTGACACTAGCGCCCAGACACCGCCGAGCGACAAAACGGTTGAAATGTTACACTTTTACTAGTCACGGATAAATGGCGCCGATTTTTGAACTGTAGTTGATCTTTTCGATCGAGTTATGCGATCCAAACGCAAGGTTTACCGGAACGGATTGCAGAAAGGTGATCTTAAGGTACCACTTTGTGGATTCGGCGGCGTAAAATGTAAGTGTGTTTGTGTTTTCGCGTAAAATTTGGAGCCGATTCTGAGCAGCTTTGAAGCTCGATCGAGCGATTCTGTCCTACCTTGTCTCTTATTATTACACTGTCATGTCAGATGATGTAGAAGTACTCAAATCGCGTTGAAACTTCGTAAAAACAAAGACAACGACTCCAGGTAACAATATTTACACTTTATTGATAACTTTTATCGCTTTTACTTCATTTATTTCATCTAAGTTTCAAACTCTATTTTTCCCGTACAAACTCTCAAATTACGCTTGGGCCACCTGTGCTAAGACTACAAACGCGCGCGCAGAATTTAAATCAAAAAACTATTGCGTGCCAACGGAAGATGTAAAGCTGCCAAGAAGTTGCTTAGAAGCAATTTACGTGGCAGAGCGGCAAATTGGGCACCGGAATTCGTGTTGAGTCCTTTCCGCGCGCTTTCCGGTCGCCAACTGACGCTGTTGCTAAATCAGCCTAATATCATCTATGACATTTTCCGTTAGATTTTTAGAATAATGGTCATTTTAGTTGTGATGCGCGCGCGTTGCCTTGGCAATTCAGCAATTTTAAAAGTGCTGTACGTTAACGGCTAATTAGTCACCCTGAAGAAGATCACTGATCGTGAATGTGATCGAAATATTGGTGGATTGAAAGGAAACTGTTTTCTGTCTTCATCTGTGATTAAGATATATTTATGTATATATACATATATATATGTAGCTTTTCTACTCAGTATCCTATTTTTGAGCTTTTCTACTCAATTTTGTTTCATATGGACTTTAATACAATACTGTTTCGTAGGCCAACGAAGCGTTGACCCACTCATCAGTTAAATTCCAAATACACTGAAGTATCGTTAGAGTTTATTTATATACGTCAGTAACATGATCTAAGCCGATTCGAACGTGAAACAGTATATGTGTGTAAACTTATGATTGGTCCTTAAGGTTGCGATTGAATTCTAGGAGGAACTTCCGCTTGTGCCTACAAGTTGAAATAAGTTCGTTGAGCTTGTTAACGCGATTGATTTGGCCTTATCGTGACGTGCATGAGGACACAATAGAAACAATAATGTTCCTTAATTGTTAAAGTATCACACCGAGGTCTCTTCCAGCTTTAACGGGTTCCAGTTCCTAATTCCCCACAATAGAGAGGCGAAAATCATTTACCTTGTCAGTCATTTGTATGCTGCCAAATAGGACAGAGCTGATTACTGAAACACCAATTCCGAATCATCAACAAGTCCTGGTTCATCCTGGTAATCGCTTCTTCTTTATCCTGCTGTTGAAAGGACATCAGAAGTTTGGTGTCATCAACATAACATTGTGGGAACAGTTTTTGGGAATCGAAGGGAGATCATGACATAGATGCTAAAGAGTAATGGACCCAGGACGCTCACCTGTGAGACGCCAGAAGTGGACTGAGGTAGTTTGTTCGACAAG